TAAATCGAAAATCAAAATATCTTTAATCTCTACTACGAATAATGCTACAAAGTTTATAATTTTTATGACTTTTTAAAAACATTAAAAACTTAATAAAAAAGTCGTTCATGAGCCTGCATGAAGGAGTCTGGCCTTGTGTGGCCATACAAAAATTTTGCTTGATCAAGCTTAATCGTGCATGATTCATGCACGGAAAAAAAATATATTTAAAATTACTATGAAAACATCGTAATTTTTAGTATAGGGCATTGTAGTGCTGGACCAGAGCTCAAGTATACGAATTTGTACGATACAACATCGTAAATTCTTTTGAAATAATTGTACTGTTTAACCTTACACATAGTTTTGTTTAGGTTACTCGCCAAAGGCTTTTCGACAAACTATCCAAGATACCATCCGAGGCTACTATTCAGTTACTTAATAAGGCCTGCTATACAATGAATTTACTCAGGACTTAGTTCGGCTGAACAAGCTCAATAGTTTGTCATTTCTTACAATAGCGATACAAATTACTGGACTCGATCTCTTTTACTTGAACATAGAATGCGTCCTTATTCACTTGCTCTTACAGGAAAACAATTTACTAATAAACATCGTACTTTCCTTTAACTCAAATTGTATTCTGTAGGCGACAACATTGTAATGATTGCTTTATTTAAAAGAAAAATTATCAAAGAAATATAGAATTACTATTTAAATATAGAAATACTATTTAAATATAGAAATACTATTTAAAGACAAGATATTTTTTTTGGAAATTTTTACGATGCTACATCATTTGTGAAAATAACGATGTTCACATCATAAAAACTCATGAGTAAATAGTAATTTTTTAAGTATAAAATTATAAAAAATAAGATATTGAAAGACTAGTCTTGGATTACGTGTGCTTGGTCGAACTTGGTCATGCATGATATCGTTTAATGCAACACATTGAGAGAGTAGTGCATAGTTAACTGAATTATAACGTCACAATTATAATAATATATTTTTCTGAATTTTTTTTTTGTACTCAGTCGAACTATGCATTAGTTGAAGTAACTATTGATAAATAGTTATATGGACTATATTTGAAAAAATATTTCTATTATCGTGTGTTTAACAAAATATTATTAGGTAACTAAAAGGTAGCTACAGGAAATGTCTTGAATTAGTTTGACTGGAAGCCCGGGAAAAAAGGTTTAGATTTGACCAGATATGGGATTTGAGACATAATCAGATTTAGTCATATCTGATCAGATCTTAACAGATATAACTATATCTGAGTTGAAAAATACATCAGACATAAAAATATTTTATTATATCGGGCCAGATATAACTATATTTATTAACTATTAATAAATACTTATAAATTATTTGAATAAATATACTTTCCTCCCAAATAAACATTTATTGAATGTTAAAAAATATTAATTAATATTTTATAAATTAAATAATTGTCTTCGAATAAATAAATTTGTTAATAGTTAATTAATCTTTTTATCAGCGTATCTTGATAATTAATAATTTGCAAATTTGATAAAAAATTTTGTTCATTACGCATCGATCATGGATACGATTTGCATTATTTGTAGTTATTACAAACTCTACTCTTGAAGTAAGTCTCATAGGTAAATAGGTAATGAATGAGTCTCTCATGCGTCAGGTCAAAGGTTCGGCTTCCGCGCGCGCCGTTTTTTTTTTTTTTTTTTTTTTTTTTTTTATGGAAATAATTCTGTATAATTATATAGGGCAATTTTTCATATATAATTATGTATGAGTATATATAATGATAAATAATCTTCTTACCCGGGCAATTTAAAGATCTGACCAGATCTGGTCAGATCTGATTATATCTGGTCAGATCTCGTCAGATAGAGACAATTTAAAGATCTGGCCAGATCTGTTCATATATGGCCAGATCTAATCCGTTTTTCCCGGGAGAGCCCTTGGTGCGTTACTAAAAAATCCGGGTCCCATTCCCGTGGGAACTATCATCTACGAGTGTACATGCCCTTAAACGGTTATGCATGATTCAAGCTTGTCCAAGCTCGATCAGGCATGGACATTTGTGATTAAGGACAATAAGTGAGCATGAACCTACCACGCAAAGTATTTTATTTTTTCGCTCCGGTACTCCGAATGATAGATTTAAAATTCACTCCGAATTTATTCCCGTTTTTTTTACAGTGTAAAAGATATATTTGCAAAAAATTCAATGTAATTATTGTTCTTGGTCCTTAATTAAACTGTCTATATTATTCTAAAGAAATAAAAATCTCATTAAATTTTTTCGTTATCTTTTTAAGAGGCTTTTATATTGAGCTACCACTTATTTTAAGTCTTGGCTCAAAATTTTCTGAGATTAGTTTAAGAAATGAGGTGAGGCATGGAATTATCGAGCCAATCGTCCATCAAGATTCTTCATTGAAACTTTTTAGTGGTCGAAAATGACATAAAAATGTATTTTTGAGTAATTTGGCTCATCGTAATTTAAGGACATTAAAAAATGCCAAAATTTCAACGAAATTAAAAGATTTCATGTTCAAGAGTAGTTGATTGTGTATGGAACGCTTTTTATACACATATGGGTCATTCCATGTCAAATCGACCAATAGTTGGAATCGACCCCTTTCGATTTGGATGAATTTTGGTCAGAAGTTTTCTTTTATCATAAAATGAAGTTCTGCCAAAGGGAAAAAAATAAAAAAATATTTTTCGAAAGATATGCAAATTCAAAATTTCGCGATTTTTCCAGTTTTTCAATTTTGTTTTTGCAATATTTCGAATGCTATTATAGATACAGAAATGGGGTTTCGTTTGTTTAAAAGGGGACACTTGAGGCTATTGAAAAAAAAATATTTTGGAAAAAAATTTTGAAAATTGCCAAATTTGTCAAATTTTGAATTTTTGAAAATCGTCAAAAATGAAGACCGCCATTAAAATTTTGGCTCAATTTTTTTTGTATGATACCTTGTAATGACTTAAAAGATCCTGAAATTTTTAGAACTGTGATTTTTTTTTT